TATTATTAAGTGGAACACAGACAAAATTTTGTACGGTAACGTTTTATGATGTAACAATTGACAAGTAAAATGGTTTTGATTTTGTTACGCCAGTTTTATCAGTTTTTTTGGTTTTACTATCTCTGGCTATACGAAATTTTAATAATGTTGTACTTTGGACTATTAAAAATGGTTGTTTTGTGGTATTTTAATAGGATAGGACGCACCGTTTTTGAATAAAATTAGTTTGAGGTCTATAATTTTCATAATTTCGAAATCTTTTAACCACTGCCAGTGCCGGTAGCGAGATTTGAACCTGCAGCTACGATAGGGAGTCACACTAGCCATTGCACGCTCTAGCCAACTACTCCACCAATTCTAACTACTACACATTATTAAATATTTTATATATACAGAGTGGTCCTTAAGTAATAGGACAGAGCAAATGTGATTTCTGGACATTAAAATATTACGATTTAGCCAAACTTAACTTAGTCCAAAATTTGATATTAAAAGAGAAACAGGGTGCTAGTCGATATTTTATTTTTGAAGATATCGATTTAAAAATTGGCAAACAGAGATTTTTTTGGGATAGGAAATAATAATCCACTCCGCCACTTTAACGCCTTGTTTCCCATGACAATAAGCATTAAAGTACGTTAACGCGCGATTGTGTGCATTCGTCCTTACACAATATAAATTCAAGTAGGGATAGGAACCCAATACTGGAACTGATGCGTTGGAATAGGTATTACACGCTGGGAACAGTGGAACTAATCCGCGGACAAATCAAAATGAATGAGTTCAACAGTTAGCGAGCGGGTGCTGGGCGAGATCATGCTCGCTTGGAACCGTGGAACCGATACGATGATAATAGACCATAGTAGTCTTTGCTAGTACGGCCTGCGGACAGCGTCACAGTAGAGGCAAGTGTAGAGAGTGTACAGTTTATATTAAACTTATTTGCAACAAAAAAACGTCGGCTTCTTTGATCCCTTTACCGTAGTCAAAGAAGCCGACATTTTTTATGTTGCAAGTAAGTTTGAAATAAACTGTACGTACGGGTCGGGTCCATTCTCAACGGAGTAGAGAAATTCTAAACTGTAAGGTTTTTTTTTACAAATGATGAGTAAGGTAACATTTATTTCATAAATATGTATAATAGGAATGATGTAGATACATCCTGGGTTTTCGGTCAATTAAATAAATAAGAACAATATTTATTTTCTTATGTTACGGTTTATTATAACCATCGTCAGAAAACTACAATTAATTACACTAAAATTATAAGGTTATGTTATGTTATGTTATGGTATGTACTTACAATATGGATTATTTTGGTATTTTTTTGGTACTAGTTTAAATTTTATAACTATTGCACATGAGTGTTTATATGTGACTGAAACTTTTCTGGCTTGTGGTGCGGTTTCTTGATGTTAACTGTGAAGAAATGTAATTTATATGTGTATTATTAGATTTGATATTTTTCTTACATTGGTGGTATGAATTATTAGGATTAAACAGTTTATTTTATGTGTGGACTTGATGGAAAGATGTAAAAAACTTGTTATTTTTTATTTTTATAAGTGTTTTACATATTATCCCCTTTATATTGTTACGCCACTGGACTGTGTAGACTGGTTAGATGAAACTGGAATTGTACGCGAACGGCTGGGAATATTCTGGAATGCTCTAGACTGTGTGAATGGATGTATAAATTAGACACACGGGGGGCCGAGCCTCAGTCCGAAGTCGAACGTGAACGAGTAAAGAAGAAATAAGAAAGAGACTTATAAGTGTTCAAGTGCGATTATAGTTAAGACAGTAATTAATCTATTGTTAATTGTTAATTAGTAAATAAAGTAGTGAGTAAGTGTTACCTGGACTTTCAATCAACGATCTACCAGTATAGGTGTTTGTGTGGATAGCAAACACGTAACAATATTTAACTTAATAGGCTGAAATATGTTTCGCTTAAATTCTCAATATCTGTACGGTTGTTAATTGCGTTATTGTGTCATTTAATTTGTAGCATTTCATGTATTGTTCTTCGGTGGTAGTTTGATTCTCTTTCCTAGTATGTTTATATTGTTAAAGTCAAAACTATGGTTGTAGTCTAATGCATGTTTCGTAAGCGCTGTTGAATTTGGATTCGCTTTTTAGATTTCGTTGAAAACAGAAAAGTTATAACTAAAAACATCACGTAAAAGTGACTAACTAAAACCTTATAAAAAACAACAAAATTAATAAAACCATCATATTTATCAAAATCAAATTATATGGCATCATTTGGTCTAATATTTCTTTAATTATCGCAAAAATAAAATTTTGAAGCCACCGCCATACTGCCGCACTAGCATTCGCTGGCCGTAAGGTTTGAGTGATAATTGTTTGCGAAATTTTCGGACTAACTAGTACCTAGTAGGCATCAAATGCTGATGGTGACTTTTAGCGTTTTCACTGGCTGCATTTTTATATACTCAGTTACTCGATGTAACTCTATTTTATTTTAACATACAGGGTGTCCCAACCAAAAGTAGGCACCCTGAATAACTTTGGAGAAAAATTGGTGGAACGCGTCGACCTTGTTTCCAAGGGGGACATATTTTAATGTAATACTTGTATACCTATCATCATCCCTCTACCCTACACGGCCACCCCCTCTAAAAATTCAAATGGCAAGGGGGTCGAGTGATACATCTTTTCAAAGGTCTTTCAATTCTCTACATAACAGTGTATTTTTTTAAAACTTTTATCGATTCGTTCCTGAGAAATAATTGTTTCATTATTTTAGGTTCGGGAAATAAAAATAAAAGAAGCAGTTTAAATTATCGTATGTATTGTTCAAAATGACCCCCATCGACTTTCATACAGTAGTATAATCTGTCTTGAAATTCTGTACGAACATTTCTGAACACATCTGGAGTCAATAAACGGCATTCTAGAACAATTCTTTTTACCTAACTCTTCCAGAGATGCGGGTTTTGTTGCAAATACCTTCGATTTCAAATGTCCCCACAGAAAGAAATCCAAGGGAATTAAATCTGGTGACCTAGCGGGCCACTCCACAGGACTCTTCTTCCAATCCATCGCTCAGGATTATCCAAAAATTGACGGACTGCTATAGCAAAATGTGGGGGTGCCTCATCCTGTTGAAAAAACAGTTCGCCCTCTAAAAGATTATCGTCTTCTTCGAGGATTTGGGTTGATGTTATTTTCTAACAGATCGAGGTACCTTTAGCCATTTAAATTGTCAGGAATAAAAAACGGCCCGACAATATGATCCCCTAAGATGCCAGCCCAAACATTTAACTTCTGAGGCCTTTGGGTATGAGTTTCCATGAACAAATGTGGATTGGTTTCACTCCAATACCTACAATTGTGCCTGTTTACCTCCCCATTTAACTGAAATGTCGAATCATCAGAAAAACACGTATTGTACAGTAGATTGGCATTACCGTTTAATTGTTCACTAAAAATCTCACAGAATTCAAGCCGACGATCGGGATCATCTTTGTTTAATTCGTATACCAATTTAAATTTATATGGATGAAATGTGAGCCTTTACAATTCGATGAACACTGCTTCCGTGATACACCAGAAGCCTCAGCTACTTTCCTGATCGATTGAGTATTATCCATCTGCAAATGACCCAGAACTGCCACTTCGACTGCTTCATTCCTAATCGGTCGCTGAAGTTCATGCTTTTGTTTCTTACAGAACCTGTTTCCATAAATTTTATCAATAATTGTAAAACATACTGAGGACCAACCCTTCTATCTGGGTGATTTCTACTGAATATGCGCTCCGTAGCTTTAGCACAATTATCGTTTTTAAAATAAATGCTGACAATTCTATTCTCTCCTGAAGGGTATAAACAATATTGAGAACTCACTCTGGTAAAATGTATTTCGATTTAAAATTGGTTGTGAAGAAATTAATGTTCAAGGACTATCAAATACTTATGAGTCTTTTATTATTCTAAAACTAAACGGATTTTTTTAAACGATTTCGATTGTGTGTAATCATCAAAAATAAAATTATTTTCCTTAAGAACGAATCGATAAAAGTTAAAAAAAATACACAGTTATGTAGGGAATTGAAAGACATTTCAAAAGATGTATCACTCGACCCCCTTGCCATTTGAATTTTTTTGAGGGGTGGCCGTGGCCGTGTAGGGTAGAGGGATGATGATAGGTATACAAGTATTACATTAAAATATGTCCCCCTTGGAAACAAGGTAGACGTGTTTCAGCAATTTTTCAAAAAATTTTTATCTCCAAAGTTATTCAGGGTGCCTACTTTTGGTTCGGACATCCTGTATAGAAAGAAAATTAGATATAGCGAGTACATAAGAGTGCAATCAGTAGAAAACACAATTAGACTTAGACGTGGATTCTGTTTTATTGTAATATCAGAAATGTTTTTTTTTAAGTCTAAAAAAAAAAATTCTATTTAGGTAGGTATGTTCATTTAACCTTTTTTTTCTTATAAAAAAACCTAGTACTTATTCTTTAAGATATATATTTTTTATTAAATCTAAATAATTATGTATTTATTCCATTTATTATCCCATCCATCAGTCAGAAAATTCGAGGACGGTTGCATGTTACAAGTTTTACTCATTCGCGTATGTATTTCTTTAACAAACTTCAACATCAAGAATTTTTTCTTTACATGTTTCCGAAATCAATAAAATAATTCAGAAAAAGTCATGTTGCTGTTTGAGTTAAATTCAGTTCTCAATAGATTAAGCAAAATATGGTATTTACGTTTTATACTATGGGTATGCAAATTAACAAAAGTTTAATACAACACAAACATTAATGTACAAATTCACGAAACAGTTAAGAACCACAAATATTTCATCAACAGTCAACATAAACACAGGAAATATTACAATACTGGTTCGGCCAAAGAACAACGCGCATAATTTCATTGGTTGTTTAACTAATGACACTTATTAATTATTTAATTTTATTTTGTTATTTTAAAAAAAATTAAAACGGCAATGCACATGTAGCCTCGTGGTCGAGTGGTAAGTATACTTGCCTCTCAACCTGGTGTCCCGGGTTCGATACTCGGTCGAGGAGCTAGGATTTTTTCTAAACCAGAAATTAATCCTAGCATACTCGGACATTGGGTGTGTGTTCATTGTCTCTAAATGTGTAGCCCTCTCCCACACAAGATACATTGAAGTACCTTTAGGGATAAAGGGGGTTGTATTACCTGTGGTGTTTAATTTAATTAATTTAAATCTTATAGATATCGATTACATCTATAATGCAGAATCATATACATAAAAAAATCCAACTATCAATGGGATGTTCCACCCGCATTATACCTATATATAAAATTTCTAACATTGAGTGAAAGCTATAGACGTGTTCAAATTTATTCATGTATTGCAGGATAATTTGAAAAAGTATACAGACAGACTTGAGTTAATTTTGTGTTTATTTAAAACAAATTAAGAAAATAAGCCCATTTGTTTTAAATTTATACCTAATAATACAATAGTATTTGATTTAACAGAAATATGTTTTAAGTTTATTTTTGTAATCCTTTATTTACGAAAGCGTAAAAGAACCACAAAAGATCATTTAAATTATTCCTACTTAATTGGAATATTTTAATTTATCATTCCCTATTAAATCTGTAAATAATTACTCCCAGTTTAAACCTTAACTTTATTATTCCTAGTTTGAACTGTGAATAATTCAATTATTACTAGTTTAAACGGTAAATAATTGCATTAACTTTATAGTGTGTACTGGGAATAATGCAATTGTTTACAATTTAAACTGGGAATAATAAAGTTTACAGTTTAAACTAGGAGTAATTAAATTATTTACAGATTTAATAGGGAATAATTACATTATTTACAGTTTAACTGGTCTTGGTCTTATACGCTTTTGTATTTATTACCCCAGTCTTCCCTAGTTATTTATTTACATACAATGAGAGGGGAAGTAATAATATAAATATATATAATAATTATTACATAAAACAGTAAAATAAAATAACTTACATTTTTTTGTACACTGGATCCAAGGCTGTACCACCGGAATATCCAACACGTGTGCGCAACACACCTTGTTGCGCTCCAAAGAGAGCATCGCAGGCCCAGAAACATCCCATTCCAAATGTGGCCTTTTTTGAAGGGGATATTTACTTCATGTAATACGCTAGGCATTTTGGTTTATCTGCGATGAAAAATATGTTTATATAATACTGTGAATAATTTAAAACAAACTAAAAAGAATTTACTTTGGAGACTTAATATACATCATAAATATCAATCCTAAATCTTGCAAATTATAAACATTAAACATAATATACCCAATTTTAAATGAAATATTATAATAATATGCTATAGTACCGCAGTATTAATATCGATGCAAAAAATTTACCAAGAACAGATATTCAAAATAATAATTAGGGACTTTAATATCGTTGGGTATTTCCGTATCAGTTTTAATTACATACATATAGTAGAATTAAATGTTATATCAGATTTATAGTTTTGCAATAAAGAACGAAAGGCGCCTTCTTTTTAATTACCTATGTGATAATAATCTATACCAACATATGTACATGTCATACATAATATTTTAAAAATATTATTTTGATTTACTGCTTAGCAGGGTAACACGTTTTAGTTAAACCAGGCTAGTTGGTTTCTAATATGTAGATAGAGATAGATCTTTATTGGTCATATATACACATTTGTGTTAGGACAAATCAAGAATATACAAAATATTATAAAAACTTAATAGGTTGTCATAGATAAAATAATTAAAAATTTAAATATAAACAAACATAATGTAATGTACTGTTACATAAAGACAAAGAGTAGTATAAATAAAACAAAAAAAACATGAATTACAAAACAAAAAATCGGGAAGGTGTCGAGTATTAAATAACTAACAAAAATACTACGATAAGTATACAAAATTGTAATATTATTACAAGATACACCATATTTACTTGCTTCTAAAAGATTATAGTGTCAATGCAGAAACTGTACAAGTACTTGTTACACAAATACTTGATATAATGGGCGTAGATAGTTCACGATTATGGATGTTAGTCACTGATATAGTACGATATTAAGCTATGTACAGACCTGAACATTACGCCGAACAACAAACAGAACAACGAACCGAACGGCAATCGGAACACTAATATGGACGGGGCTACGAACGCGTTTGCAAACAGGTTCGCAAATCCTGGCCATTCGGCAAACGGTTTGCGGCGTTCCCATCACTTGTCGGTTTTTTCTCCGACATCAAAGAAAATGCGCGCGAATGGGTTTGCAGGTTTGGACGGGTCAAAACAAAACGGCGAACAGACCTTTGCTGGTGAGCCTCAGTCCAGTGATTTTTTTAGCTTTTCTCCTGCCTCGAATTAATTGTTTATCAAAAACAAAGAGTTGTTGTGGAAAGCAAAACATCCACAACATTTTAATAAAATTAAAAAAGCAAGACGCCTGGGAGGAAATTTCCCAAAATTTAAATATTGATGCAGAGGAATGTAGAAAAAAAATGGCGGTCTTATTAGCATAATTTTGGCGGGAAATTTCCAAAATTAAAAAAAGCCGAGGAATTGGGGCAGGTAAGTTTTTACGTTAAATACAAGGTGTCTCAAAATTAAAAAAAAAAAAAACAATAAACTAATCAACATAAAGTTTGGTTTATTCCATTTTTTCACAATTTCTTTTTCTATAGGAGGCCTTTTTCTCTTCTAAAGCAGCATACCATAGATAAAACGTTAGATAATTTTTTCAAGAAGTAACTAGTATTTAAATACTTTTGTATTTTACCCAGCTCTGGATACCTGTAAAAACATTCGAAAATGGTCCACATTGTACATATACCTACAGGAATGTGCAATGGTTTTTTTTAATTCTAAAACAATTTTTTTATAGGAAGAAATGATATATATGAGAGTTTTTGGTTTGCATTCAAAGCTATGATATTCCTTTAGGACAAAGATGAACCTAGGCAAAGACTAAATACTGTAAGTTTCTATTTTTTTTGCATAGCATGCATATATACACAGTGGACCAAAAAACGGTACAAAATTGAAATATTCATATTTTCTATAATTAAAACATTAAATTATTTCTTTGAAAAACGAAATGTTTACACTTTGTAGATTGCAAAAATTATTAATTGCATTTTTTTTGCAAAGTTTTCTATCGGTGATAAATCACATTAATGAAGACTCTGCAAAGGCGGGAGTTTATTATGCACCACCGCGTGGCATTTGGGCCAACTGTGTATTTTTACAAATAATTTTATGCATATTCATTTTGCCATTCAACTCGACCTTCTTCTGTAACAAAGAATTCTGCTAATTCCGTACGAATTTCTTGAGCTGTTTGACTTCGTTTGCGAGGAATATTTTGAAGAGGAAGAAAATATGTTGCATTTTTGTCAACCATCGTCCTCCAGTTCCCTTTTATTAAACTACCTGATTACGTTTCTTCGTCAAAGGTTCCTGGTGGAGTGTAAAAGTTTCGAGAGGTTCTATTTCTTCTCAAAAAAAATGTGTAAATGTGCTACTGTTAATACAATTAGCTGCGCTTTTTCAGGTTTAAGAAGCAATGGTTTTCGCAAAATTCGAAAAACAGCGGACATAATTCCGAAAATATTCTCCACTATTCTACGAGCTCGACAAATATGATAATTAAAAATCCTCTGCAAAGATATTCTCGGAAAATAGACTAAAAAAGGTTTCATCATATTTTCACTTAATGCGAAGGTATCATCGCCAATAAAAAAAATGGAATATCCTTTTGCCTTGTTCCTAAGGCAATCGGTTTGGGAAGGTTTAATTTTTTGTGCTCCATTTTCTTATATAATATACTGTCTTTAAAGACACCTCCATCCGAAATTCCCTGGCAACCAGCAGCAATAAATAAGAGATTGTAATTAGCATCCGCCAAAGCAAAAAGAACTATTTTGAACGTGGACTTGTAGTTTATAAATTCAGAACCACTCAACATTGGTTTCTGAATTACGACGTGTTTCCCGTCTAGGGCACCTAGGCAATGTGGAAAATTTCAGTTTCTTTCACATTGCCTTGCAACTTCAGTCTATTCCATTGCAGTTGAAGGTATCTGTAAGCAATAAATACCTATACACCATTATTCCAGAAGGGTTGAAATAAACAAAGACTTAATTTTAACAATTTAATCAACAGTTTATGGTCCTCTTTACTAAAAGACCCTATACCCTATTTATTTTAATAAAGTAATTTTTGTTTAATAAATAGGTATGCTTTAATTTCAGATTGCGGAGAACCAGAATTATTCTGACTTATCTTCTGAATAAACAGGAGCGCCACCGGTAGATGAAGATATACAGGATTTAGAAAATGTGGAACAAGAGCCTTCAGTAGAAAATTTGCAACAAATGGCGCCACAGCTCTCAGTAGAAAATTTGGTGCGAATGCCACCCCCTCTCCCAAAAGCCGCCAACTTCAAAAAGTACAAAAAGGTCAAGGACAAATGATAAAAGGTTAGATAATGCCTTCAGGATTTTAGAGGCATCAACTTCAGCGCCAATACAAAATGAGGAAAGTGATTGCCAAATATTTGGCAAATTGGTAGCCAAGAAATTACAAGGCTACAATCCTGATGTACGCAGTATTGCACAGGAAGAACTCTTGAAAATATTATTTAAAGCCGATAGAGGCTTTACAATAACATGAGCAATCAGCAACCCCCTCCTATGCAGCACCAACATTTAATTACAATAGCAGTCCCAATTCAAATCATCACCATCGCAATCCTTCAAATTCCAATATAACCCTTAGTCAAATCTCATCTCCCGCTATTACACCAGCCCCTCACCATTCCCTAGCAAGCAACTATTTCTCCAATTTCTCCCCAAATACCCCAGCAGGTTCTTCAATGGATAGTGATGATGGAAGTAGCGAAATTTACGAACTGTAAAAGAAAATTAGGGAAAAATTTTTTGTTTTTGTTTTTATAAATAAGTTTAGGTTTTCTGTATTTTCTATTTTTATATGAATAAAAAAATTATTGTGCTTACTGTGATATTTTCCTTTAAAACATCTACGAGTG